TTAATTATTTTTACATCACAACAATTTTCTTCCCAGCTTTTTCTCCTAAGATAATTAACCTATAAAAAAAAATATAAGGTAAGCCAATTTTGTATTGCCCAAATTGATCAAGAGAGCTTGTGTGTGATTAGATTAAAGCCAGTGGTAGGGAATGTTAACTGCATGCAAATTTTCTTTAAATAAATGATCTATTTAAAAAATTAAATACAGGCTTCCAACAAATCAATTGGGCGTTTTCTTTTTCAGGTGACAAACATTAGTAAACTATTCCGGAATTTTCAGGTTTGTCCCGGGTGATCGGATCCGGTTTTAATGACCCGGTTTTTCTTAAAACATGTAATTTTACCTAAAAATTACAATAACCAATAAAGAAATATTAATTTTTAGTTAAAATGTATTCTTAAACACCAGAATTTTTCATAACTTTGTGGATTTTATGCAGCAGATGTCTGAAAACGTAAATTGTGAACTTGGGAAACTGCCTACCCATTTTACCAACTTGAAAATCAATAATCGCCGATAAAATCTACAATATAAAGTATTTCATGGCAATTTTAGCAGCGAATATAAATAATCATGTATTAAATATATTCTGAAAAATTCAGCTCGATCGATAAAGTATGAAGACAGAAATTTGAAAAATCTCGATCTGCCCCGGCTTTTAATTTGCCCCGGCCCGGGTTTGCCTACCCATTTTACCAACACTCCAAATCGTCCATGGAAAAATCCGCGCTCTGTTATTGACCAATCATAGAACTCAAAAACGTCACGTGATCGAAAAAAATAAATAAATAATTCATAATTAATTTATTTTAAATGCAAATAAACCTAATTGTGTAATTTTAAACTTAAATTAAAAATATAAATACCAGTTGGTGTTAAAATTTTGAATTTATCTTAGTATCAACAAAACGGACATCGGAGGCCGCCATATTTTTTGTTGCCGCCATTTTGAATTTAATATTTGTTTATTTGTGAAAATAACTATTATAACTGGGTTATTTAATTATGCAAACAATAAAATCTACATGTACTAGTCATCTGCTTAAATCTTAATATAACTGGCAGTCTTTATTCACAACATCGTAATATCTGTTCAACATGAACATGCACATACTCTATGCTGTTGTTTATCTTTTTAGCCACCCATATTACGACTGATTTTCTTCAGATTTCAAACAACCTGAGATTGTGTAATACCCAAGCTGAAATATTTACGATGTGTTGGCCACAAAGGTCACCTAGTACAAACACCTGTCTCACAGAAAACAATAGGGAAATTTACACAGTTTTGCACACGAAGAATCCATGCAAAATTCACACGACTTCATGAGATTACATTTCATACTGTTTATAGCTCTTGCAGTACATTTATATTTCCCCAGAATTATGAAATATATTCATTCCCAACTTCAGATGTAAGTGCATTATTATAATATACAAGACAAATATTATGTCTCATCAGGGTCTCAATAAATACGTATTTTCTAAGAGAGAGAGAGAAAGAGAGAGAGAAATTAATTATTCTCAACTTTAGTTGAAACTTACATGACAAATATCAATTTAAATAGACAATAATATTTATTACACACACATGGCATGTACTGTGTACACACCCTCAAACACCACAGAGAGAGAGAGAGAGAGAGAGAGTTTCTCATTTATAGATGTAATTCACAAGATTTTATTTCACATCCCTTCTGTTGATCGAACTTGACATGGCTGTGGACAGCATATTTATTATGAATGAGAAGTCGATCACTGGTAGTAAACAATATTATTGTTCAGGAATTGACAAAGTTTTCTGCTGCAGTGTTTGAAAAAAAAACCATTTTGAACATGATCAAAATTCATTCAAATTAACACTTACTTATAATAATGTTATTTTTGAAAAAAAAAAAAAAAGTCGGTGTCAAGTAGTATCCATTAAATAACCCCCAAAACTTGTAAATTTATACTGGTAATGCTTGAAAATGGCTAAGTTCAGAAAAGTTATGTTTTAGTTATACATGAAAATGACAAAGTCCAGAAAAGTTATGTTTTAGTTATACATGAAAATGGCTAAGTCCAAAAAGTTACATTTTAGTTATACATGAAAATGACAAAGTCCAGAAAAGTTATGTTTTAGTTACACGTGAAAATGGCTAAGTCCAAAAAGTTACATTTTAGTTATACATGAAAATGACAAAGTCCAAAAAAGTTACATTTTAGTTATAACTTTTTTGTACCTCACAGGCTAGGTATAACTAAGTTATACTTTAGTTATAACTTAGTTATAACTTTTTTCGGTATGGGTTGTCAAATCGTACTAACATTACATGCAATTCACAAAATATGTGTAAAATGACCCTTTGAAGAAGATTGTTGATTCCACTTTATAAAACCATTTCCTTAGTCTTTATTTATTTCACAACTCACACTTACATTTGAATTGATTTTGAAACATACAAATTATTTTTTTTTTTGTTAATTATCATTTGGTCAAGTATACAGTGATCAAAATATAAAACACTGCACATTCACCTGGCAGTTGCATGTACAGAACCAAGATTTTTCCCAAAAGATAGGAAGTTAATTTAAACAACATGCTTTCATGCATTAATGGCTCTCCTTACCAACTTATGAGGGGTGCTTATTTCCTCATTGGGGGGGGGGGGGCAATGTCATAAATCTTCTAGTAACCTAGTGAGGGTCCTTTTGGTGGGAGTGGCCCTCCCCTGATTTAAGTAGAAAATTGAATTGACTAGAGAATGGGTTGTTGTGAGTATTTAAGTTCACATCAAACTTCCTTTAGCTTTGTAGAGGTAAGAGGTTCAAGTTTAACAAACTATAAGATTATTTTGAAAGTGTCATTCTATGTACATGTATATTGTGTAGGTCATATATGCCCCACCCCAGCCAGCTTTACACTAAAGTTTTTTCTTTGTATTATAATACTTGGAGAAAGGTAATCAATTACAGCTGATTACATAGTCCGAAAAATCTGACAATTTCTGGCTTTTTAGCTCACCTGAGCTAAAGGCTCAAGTGTGCTTTTTTGATCAAAATTTGTCCGTTGTCTGTCGTCGTTGTTGTTGTAAACTTTACACATTTTCATCTTCTTCTCAAGAACCACTGGGCCAATTTCAACCAAACTTGGTACAAAGTATCCTTGTATAAAGGGGATTTAAGTTGTTCAAATGAAGGGCCACCCCATTTTCCAAGGGGAGAAAATTTTGAATTTATTAAAAATTATTGGCATTTTTAAAAAATCTTCTTCTCCAGAACCGCTGGGCCAGGAAAGATGAAACTAAGTTGGAATCATCCTCAGGTAGTGTACATTCAAGTTTGTTCAAATCATGACCCCGGTGGCTAGGGTGGGTCCAAAATGGCCGACCCAAGTTTTACATAGGAATATATAGGAAAAATCATTAAAAATCTTCTTCTCCAGAACCACTGGGCCAGGAAAGATGAAACTCATGTGGAATCATCCTCAGGTAATGTAGATTCAAGTTTGTTCAAATCATGACCCGGGGATAGGGTGGGGCCAAAATGGCTGACCCAAGTTTTACATAGGGATATATAGGGAAAATTTTAAAATCTTCTTTTCAAGTACTTCAAAGCTTTGATTAGTGATATTTATATGGAATCATCGTCAGATAGTGTAGATTCTAGTTTGTTCAAATGATGAATGCCTGGAGGGGGGGGGGGGTAAATTCAATCCCGATGTGCTCAGGTAAGCACTGTGGCCCCTGGGCCTCTTGTTTGCGATTCTGATATTTTACATGCCAGGAAAACGTCAGAACCGGCGCCATTACGAAAACTGGGAAATCGCTGCCTCCAATTGGAGGCGGCATTAAGAGGTTGATTTTCGATACTTGTAAACTGAAATAAATGCTGAATTCACATATTATCAATAGTACAAAACCTTTAGTACTCACCAACACCGTTTTTTGTTTCGTTTTTGAAATAATATAATCCGATGAACACATTTTATCTGACTGTCGAGATTTGTTTTCATTTCGTGCATTTTAAAATCGTGCAAGTTCTGAATCGGAATGTGGAGTGGTAATTTCTATTCATCGCTATTGGTGAGTTCTAGTAGTATTGTGCCATTGATATATTGTGATTTCGGCATCTAATTTGGTTCCCAAGTATAGAAAATCAACTTCGGATGGAGACGGTGAAATTCCCAGTTTTCGTAATGGCGCCGGTTCTGACGTTTTCCTGGCATGTAAAATGTCAAATTGTAAATTAGCCAGAAAAACGTAAGATTTTTCAGACTACTGATTACAAAGTGTGATACATACATGAAAGAAGCAATGTCTTTCTTAGATTTCCATATTTTTAAAAATGTAACAACTAATGTTTTTTAAGGTATTTAATTTTTGTTAACAAAATACCTATTGCAATTTAATATTTAAAAGTTATAGCTTGGGAATTATATAAAGATTTAAAAGTAAAGTAATCATTACCTGGTGTAAGATAGGAAAATGGCTGCCGACTTGTTAATTAAGAAATAAAATATCATTTTTAGGGTTTCATTGGGGTATGACATGAAGTCGGTCATGTGATCAAATTCTATTACACCCATTATAGTAGATTTGATCACATACTGACTTCATGTCACATCGATCCATTATTTCAAACATATGTTTAACATATGTTTGGAGTTTGACACTTATTACAAATAAATATCTCCAAGGTTAGGAAATGTTCAACAGCTCAATTTTCCCGAAAATTAAACCCCCACGAAATTACTGTAATTTGGTAGACCTCATTTTAACCCTTCAAAATCTCTAGAATCCAGGAGCTATTCTCAGATGCTGATTTTATGATATAAAAAGAATGTTGAATTCAAATTTTGCCTAAATCTTGGATATGAAGTACACTGGATCTGTAAATTAGATAAAATCAGTTACATGTACTGACATCTTCTAGAGTATGCATTTGATTTTACTGATACATGTAATTCATTTTTTTCAATTCCTGTTACTTTCAGTTATACAGTTCCGGGGGTACAGTTGTATCATGTTCTTTGCACAAATTAAACTAATATAATAATGGTAAATTTCATCTAGGAAGTATTTGCTTTCATTGTTCTTAATCTATACTGGGATGATTTTTACTGCAGATATTTGATTTTCTTCACTTGTGTGTTTCTACACTGAGCAACAAACAGATTGTCATTTGTATCTATACACAGTCCCTGGGGTTCACTCAGTCCACAGTCTATGTAACGGAGGAACTGTCCATCCTGGTCTATGATGTGGACACAGTCATTGTTATAATCAGCTGTAAGGATGTTACTCTGACTGTCTGTGGTGATTCCTTGTGGACTTAATGGTTCATTTTTTGGAGCAGGAGTATGTCCAGTGTACCTGAATCTCAGTATCCCGGCCTGATTGACCACAACTACTGCATTAGCTCCCCAGTCAGACACACAGATTTCCAGGTCCCTGTTCTCAGTTACACTACTGGCTTTTAAAACCCCTGTCCGTATGAAAATCCACTGTCTTTCTCTGTATCCTACAGCATTTTCACAGTAATCTACGGTATATCTACAGTATGCTACGGTATGCTAGCTCTGTATATACAGTAAATCTCTGTATGCCACTGTATGTATCCCCAGCATGCCACAGTTACATACAGTAGGCCCCGATACGCCTACAGTGTGCCACTGTATGGCTACTGTTTCCTACAGACAACTACGGTAAACCACAGTATATGCCCCAGTACGCCCCTGTATATGTTCATTGAAGCAAAAAGAAGAAGTTTACACACTCCCAGAGCACTGTACGGTTACCTAAGATGTGGGATTGTCAATTTAGTACACAGAGTTACTTACCTAAGAAATTTTTTAACATTATTTTAAACACATGGTAGTATTTTTTTTAAAGTGTTAAGAGACTAATTGTGTTCTTTTATAACTCTGAAATAACTATGAAATATTAATAAAGTGTTGCTTCAAAGAATATTTATCTATCAATTTTTAAAATTAATTATTTAATTATTATTTGGTTTGATTTATTACTTAATTTATTTATTTTGCACACACCTATTTAATCCATAAAATACTTGGAGTGACTTTGAACTTTAAAAAAAAAACACGGCCGGGGTAATGCTGAATTTTGGAAAATTGTAGTTTTTAAAATTGATATAGTTTCCTTGAAAAAATAAATAAAATTAATTAAATGAAATTAATCATTTTAAAAACAAATCAATCTATTTCTTGACAAATACAGAGTTGCATAGTAAACTCGGCACAAAATAAATAAGGTGAGGTGGTAAGTGAAAATTAAATAAAATATATACTTTAAAAATACAAAATTAATAAATGAACTAATTATTTATCTTATTTATTTATCAATTTATCTACAAATACATAGATAAACAAAATAAATAAAAATTTATTTATTTATTTTGTAACTGACAAGACAACAAAGTGATTGAATATACCCCCCCCCCCCCAATTGATTTTTTTAGTTTATTTTTATGTGAAAATCATTTCTCCTAAAATATGCTACAAAGTATTTTTTAAGCATATGAAAACAAATTCCAATAATTTTACGTTCATGATGGATATCAAAATAATCGTCAGATTATGCACAATATTAATTTGTCAATTGCAATTTCATATTTTTACTTTGTTTTGATTTTTAAAAATCGGTATTCAAAACCCTAACACGATTATGAAAGAACTTCAAAGCCATTGATTGTTTACAAGGGACATGGGGTACACAGTAATGACACCTATTGTCTTTTTCACTGACCACTATACCTTGTTTATTTTGTGACAGAGAGCGACCGTGTCCACTCTTCGGCTGTTTGAATAAACATTTTCTCTTTGTGAGAAAACCGTTTTTTGTCAAACAAAAACAAAATAAAAGTATCAAAAAAGCTATTGGCGGATTAAGATTGTGCATTATGAGACGATTATTTTGATATCCAACACGGAAGTAAAATAATTAAAAGTAGTTTAAAAATGCTTCAAAAAGACTTTGAGAGACATTTTAGCGGAAACTTGTTAACATTAAATAAGCCAAATAAATCCAACTTTCGGGATTATAATTCATTAATTTGCTTGTATCGTCAATTTAAAAAATAAATAAATAAATATATTGTTCTTTTTACAATGATTAAATACGTGCTGTAAATTTGTTTTATCTATTTATTCACTAACCATTTAAAATCAATTATTGAATTGATTTTAAAAACTATTTATCTTAAATAAGCAGCATTATTAATGCATTATTAAGCAGCATTATTTAAGCACATATTTTATCATTGTAAAAAGAACAATATATTTATCTATTTATTTTTTAAATTGACGATACAAGCAAATTAATTAATTATAATCCCGAAAGTTGGATTTATTTGGCTTATTTAATGTAAACAAGTTTCCGCTAAAATGTCTCTCAAAGTCTTTTTGAAGCATTTTTAAACTACTTTTAATTATTTTACTTCCGTGTTGGATATCAAAATAATCGTCTCATAATGCACAATCTTAATCCACCAATAGCTTTTCTGATACTTTTATTTTGTTTTGATTGAAAAAAAAACCGGTTCTCTCACAAAGAGAAAATGTTATTTCAAACAGCCTCAGATAGGACACAGTCGCTCTCTGTAACAAAATAAACAAGGTATAGTGGTCAGTGAAAAAGACAATAGGTGTCATTACTGTGTACCCCGGCCATGTCCCTTGTAAACAATCAATGGCTTTGAAGTTCTTTCATAATCTTGTTAGGGTTTTGAATACCGATTTTTTTAATCAAAACAAAGTAAAAATATGAAATTGCAATTGACAAATTAAAATTGTGCATTTTCTGACGATTATTTTGATATCCATCATGGACGTAAAATAACTGCTATTCGCTTTTATATGCTAAAAAAAATCTTTGTAACATATTTTAGGATAAAAATATTTATACAAAAAGCCCTAGTAATTTTCTTTTTGAGGGATATAAATAATTAATTATTTAGTTGTATTGTCAATTCAAAAAATATTATTAAAAAATTTGACATTTTTATGGTGATGAATTAATTATTTATTTCATTTATTTACCATTTATTTATTTCTCTAACACCTATTTAATCCATAAATTACTTGGAATGGCTTTTTTGTACCTTTTAGAAAAGAGAAAATTACACAAAAACACACACTTTCACAACAAAAGTAATGCTGCATTTTAGAAAATTTTAGATTCTAAAATAAATTCAATAATTGATTTTTAAATTGTTAGAAATTAAATAAATAAAACTGATTTTAAGCACGTATTTTATCATTGTAAAAAGAACAATATATTTATCTATTTATTTTTTAAATTGACGATACAAGCAAATTAATTAATTATAATCCCGAAAGTTGGATTTATTTGGCTTATTTAATGTAAACAAGTTTCCGCTAAAATGTCTCTCAAAGTCTTTTTGAAGCATTTTTAAACTACTTTTAATTATTTTACTTCCGTGTTGGATATCAAAATAATCGTCTCATAATGCAAAATCTTAATCCACCAATAGCTTTTTTGATACTTTTATTTTGTTTTTGTTTGACAAAAAACGGTTTTCTCACAAAGAGAAAATGTTTATTCAAACAGCCTCAGATAGGACACAGTCGCTCTCTGTCACAAAATAAACAAGGTATAGTGGTCAGTGAAAAAGACAATAGGTGTCATTACTGTGTACCCCATGTCCCTTGTAAACAATCAATGGCTTTGAAGTTCTTTCATAATCGTGTTAGGGTTTTGAATACCTATTTTTTTAATCAAAACAAAGTAAAAATATGAAATTGCAATTGACAAATTAATATTGTGCATAATCTGACGATTATTTTGATATCCATCATGAACGTAAAATTATTGGAATTTGTTTTCATATGCTTAAAAAATACTTTGTAGCATATTTCAGGAGAAATGATTTTCACATAAAAATAAAACTAAAAAATTTAATTGGGGGGCGGGGTGTATATTTAATCACTTTGTTGTCTTGTCAGTTACAAAATAAATAAATTAATTTTTATTTATTTTGTTTATCTATGTATTTGTAGATAAATTAATAAACAAATAAATAAATAAGATAAATAATTAGTTCCTTTATTAATTTTGTATTTTTAAAGTCATTTATTTTATTTAATTTTCACTTTCCACCTCACCTTATTTATTTTGTGCCGAGTTTACTATGCAGCTCTGTATTTGTCAAGAAATAGATTGATTTGTTTTTAAAATGATTAATTTCATTTAATTAATTTTATTTATTTTTTTAAGGAAACTATATCAATTTTAAAAACTACAATTTTCCAAAATTCAGCATTACCCCGGCCGTGTTTTTTTTTAAAGTTAAAAGTCACTCCAAGTATTTTATGGATTAAATAGGTGTTTGCAAAATAAATAAATTAAGTAATAAATCAAAGCAAAGAATAATTAAATAATTAATTTTAAAAATTGATAGATAAATATTCTTTGAAGCAACAATTTATTAATATTTCATAGTTATTTCAGAGTTATAAAAGAACACAATTAGTCTCTTAACACTTTAAAAAAATACTACCATGTGTTTAAAATAATGTTCAAAAATTTCTTAGGTAAGTAACTCTGTGTACTAAATTGACAATCCCACATCTTAGGTAACCGTACAGTGCTCTGGGAGTGTGTAAACTTCTTTTTGCTTCAATGAACATATACAGGGGCGTACTGGGGCATATACTGTGGTTTACCGTAGTTGTCTGTAGGAAACAGTAGCCATACAGTGACATACTGTAGGCGTATCGGGGCCTACTGTATGTAACTGTGGCATGCTGGGGATACATACAGTGGCATACAGAGATTTACTGTATATACAGAGCTAGCATACTGTAGATATACCGTAGATTACTGTGAAAATGCTGTAGGATACAGAGAAAGACAGTGGATTTTCATACGGACAGGGGTTTTAAAAGCCAGTAGTGTTATGTAGAATGTGTTATAACGACCAGATGAATAGAGAGGTTTCCCTTTATTATCAATCTGAATGGTTTGTTTCTCTGTGGAGCCAGAGTAACGGACAACTTTTGTTTGTTTGTTGATATAACTGTCCATGATAACCAGGAGGTCACCAGAGGAGGTACTACAGACACCAAGAGGTTTCCAGTTCTGTAGTCTGATCACCTCTTCTATCTTCTCATTCTTCACAATGTTCACAGTTCTATCACTGTCATCAGTATAAACTAGATCTCCACTTTTTGTCACTGCTATGTCATATGGATTGTTCCCTGACTTGGCGGTGGTTGACTTGAGTAGTGATCCCTGATTGATGCTGTAGAGTTTCATGGTGCTGTCATTTCCACTTGTCCAGATTTCTTCATCACTCAGACAGGCCACATTGTAAAGTCCATAGTGATACCCAGTGTCTATGGTGGTGACAGTCTCTGGTTGATCAAGCAGCTGTTTGACTGGAGGAGAGGATCCAGCTTCTGGTGATTTCTGTGTTGTCTTCATGCTGTAGCCATGTTTATCTGAAGTCAAAGAACTTGATGACAAGATTCCAAATGATTTACAAAGTTCTTCTCCTTGGATTTTTCCTGGAATGAATTTAGGTAGAGATGGTGCTAATTTGTGTGGAAGATTTTTGTATCTATCTGCATTGGATGTGACACCAAGTAGTTTTGACAAGTCATTTGTATCAGTAGACATTTTGACTGAATCAGTTTCATCCTTGATGTCAGACATTGTCTTGTTTATTTCATCCAGATGTTTCTGTAGAGTTTGTAACTGTGTGTTTTTCATTTCATCAACTTCAGCTTTAAGTTTCTTGACAAGTTTGTCAATTTCTCTGTGCCAGTCCTCTCCATGTTTTGTTATGGTTGTTGAGAGATCTCCATATTCCTTTTCTAACTGACTCATTCTGTTTTGTACATCAGAGGCAATGTCCTGGTAGGTGGGGTAAATTGTATCATTTAGTTCATTTCGTTCTTTGACAAATTTATTCATTCTTTCATTCACAACTTCTAAGATTTCTGATACTTTATGACCTTGATGTTTACCGGATTCCGATGCAATGCATTTAGGACAAATAGGAATGTCACATTGATTACAGTACATTGTACTATGGTCTTTGGAATGAGATTTACATCTTGGGTAAAGGGGAGTGGATTTTCTGGCCTGAAATTTGACGACTTTATGGTCTTTGGATTCATCAGAAATCATGTGTTTCCCTACGCAAGCTGTACACAGGTTGACAAGACATGTATCACAGTGCATCTGTACCACAGCGGTCTCACACAGGTCACATCGCATCACGTCCTGGGCACTGGTACGGGGGTTCATGATTAAACTTGTCACTCTGAAATATAAATAGATCTTTATCTCAACAGGATATCAATAAAAGTAAATCTAGTGGTTTGGGTTTTTGACAAGTATTTAAAAAATTATTTCCTTTTGAAAGTCAAGTTTTTCAAATTAATTTTTTTGTCTTCAAAAATTACGCTGTCACACACACTTAATGGGTAGAGCACTAAATTAGAGAATGGATGGTCGTGGGTTCAAGACACATGTACCCCAATAAACTAAAGTCCATAAAAATCGATAGGGCTTGTTCCTCATTCATTCTTGCTTACTGAGGGTCTTTCAGATGAGACGTACTTTAAAAAACTGAGGTACTGTGTCACAGAGGGCATTGACATTTTGAGGTGAAAGTTGAGGGTCTTTTAGAGTCACATTAGGAGTTGACACAATAAAAACCACTCCTTACTCAATGGCTCTGAGTGTCAAATAAAGGTCATGATGTGAAGCCTTTCACCAAATTTTTCATGAGTGTAATAATCTCGCAAGAAACATAAAACAGCAGTCATTTAATCAACAAATTACTGTAAATCACTTTTTATTCGCAAGAACTTTATCTTCGCGTAATTACGCGAGACAGTGTGCTTACGAAAATTTTAATTCTCCTGTACGATAGTATTTCTTAAGATTATATAGAGCAATAACCATAATTCGTGAAAATTTTGTCTCGCTAATCAGGAGTCAATGTTTATCTCTCAAAAATAAGGTGTCGCAAAAATATAGTGATCTACAGTAGTTTATATTAATGGCATTGTGGAAAAGTAGGGGTTTGTCAATTGTCAAATTGTACATTACATTAAATACAAAAGATGTGTAAAATGACCCTTTGAAGAACATTGTTGATTCCACTTTATAAAACCATTTCCAGGTTTTAATTTTTTAGGTTAGTCCATATATATTTCACAACTCACACTTACATTTGAATTGATTTTGAAACGTACAAATTAATTTTTAGCAAACCTCGACGAAGTCAAGTTGAGCTTATGCTATACCTCTGGCGTTGCCGTTGGTGTCAGCGTTCCAGGTTAAAGTTTAAGGAGCAAGTCCATTCCCAAATAACTATAAGCCCTACCTGAACCAAACTTGCATGGATGATGCATCTACGGATGTACACTACCAGACTTGCTGGATCTGACCTACATTTTCCAGATGAGTGACCAGGTTAAAGTTTTTGGAGCAGGCCTATTCCCAAGGAACTATAAGCCCTACCCAGACCAAACTTCCATGGATGATGCATCTAGGGATGGACACTCCAAGATTTGCTTTAGAGGTCCCCAGTTTTATTTGAAAGTTATTTTCTGTTACTGTACTATAATACTATAATATTTTCTGTACTAAAAAAAGTAATCAATTAATGTACAGTTGATTACAAAGTGTGATATAGATATATTTTGTTTTTTAAATCGAAAAACTATTTTTTTTTAAGTATTTATTTTTGTCAACAAAGCTATAGCAATTTAATATTTAAAAGTTAAATAGCTTTGGAAATATCAAAATTTTAAAAGTAAAGTAAACATTACCTGGTGTTAGATAGGTAAATGGCTGCCGTCTTGTAAAGGACTATTGCTATGTATTAAGGTCACATGATCCACATACCTGAGCGATCTACCTGTCAGGTATTTTACTTCCTGGTCCATATGTAGTTGGGATTTAAATTTTATAACTATGGCTTATTGTTTAGGCTTTAATTATAATGGAGTCATTAATCATTATAACAAAGAAAAGCACATGAACCCTACATTACCTCCAATAACCAAAAAATAAAACTTTGATTGAATTCAAAATCTTTTTTGTGACTTATAAATAATGTAACAATTTGCAGTTGGTCATGTAAGACACTTAATAAGTTGTCTTTGAATACAATCTTGTTTCCATCTGTTATGGCCAGAACAGAATGTGTGATTCTTCAATATATGCAAGCTTTAAATAAATGTGCATAAATTCTGATTTTTTAAAAATCTTGATTCTTCTGTGAAACCATGCACAGATTAGAATTAGGTTATACTAAGTTAAATAAATTCAATATGTAGTGTACATGTAGTATGGTTAGGTTAGTCAGATCATGGCCTTGCTTTTGAATTCCTGTAGGTAAAAAGTGTGTCTTTTTTATGAAAAAAAAATTAATTTAATCCATACCTTTTAAAAGGATAATGCTGTTTTTGAATAAAATTACCTGCACTAGCTCATTACACTAGACCAGTCAGTAGAGTGCTTACCCTGTGATTGGAAGGTCAAAGCAATTATGAGTTGGGAAAAATTGTAGCAATTCCATCAAATATTAAAATTGCAGGTTTTTTAAACTCTTTGTCATGGTATCACAATAAAACACCATCTTTATTGCTCTTAGTTGGACCTGATTGAGTGCTTCGTAACTGTGGAAATTTATTAAGCCCTTCACTGGCATTTGGTGATATCTCATGTGTGTAAACTTATCTTGCAAAGTAAAAAAAGCTACATTATGTCTAGCTACTGTAAATCATGTTTAATTTGCGAGAACTTTATTTTTGCATAATTACGCGAGACAATGAGCTCGCAAAAATTTCATTCTCACGTTTAAAAGTATTCCTTACGATTATTATATAGGAGAAAAACAACAATTTGTGAAAATTATGTCTCGCTAATAAGGAGTCAATGATCATCTTGCGAAAATAAAGTGTTGCTAAAATTTAGTGATCTACAGTATATACAAAGACATATATATAAGACATAAAAGCATGGAATTCTACATCAGGTTGCTGAGTTCTATGCTTTGAGTTCATTACCTTAAACATTATGGTTACCCATTTGACAGGATATACAACACACTGACCCCCCCCCCCCCCAATATTTTCTGTCATTCACTTTCACTATTTTAGTATATTTATATATTGATGCACAATCTGGACAAAATTATTTAAGTCATATTTGGATAGGAATTTCAGAAATTTTCAACTAAGTACCTATAAAGTTCCCTATTTTCAAAAATATCAGGTTA